CTCTCCTGCTCGGGCTGGCTTTGAACCGTGATCCTCAGATCTCAGCCTCCTGAGTAGCTAGGATTACAGGCGTGAGCCACCAGCGCCCGGCTTCTGTTACGATTTTTATTGTACCTATTTTCATAACTATAAGTGTTGTCATAAGTCTTGTCATTTTATATTCTCTTGTTGTTTGCTTATATTTCAATAGATTTTTGTTGTTGTTGTTTGTGGGACTTGAATTCTGGGCCTGGATGCTGTCCCTGAACTCTTCAGCTCAAGGCTAGCACTCTACTACTTTGGGCCACAGTGCCATTTCCGGTTTTCTGATAGTTAATTGGAGATAAAAGTCTCATGGACTTCCTTGCCTGGGCTGGCTTTGAGTGCAATCCTCAGATCTTAGCCTCCTGAGTAGCTAGGATTATAGGTGTAAGCCACTGGCACCTGGCTATTAATAGTCCTGAGGTTTGAAGTCCGGGCGCCTCCTAGCTGTTTTGCTAGTTAATTGGAAATAAGAGTCTCACAGAGTTTCTTACCTAGGCTGACTTTGAACTGTGATCCTCAGAGCTCAGCCTCCTGAGTAGCTAGAACTACAGGCATGAGCCTGTGCTAGGCTTCTGCTGAGAGTATCTGCTCTTTTGTAATGCTGAAAATGTAAGTTAAAAAAAAAATTTAGCCTAACCGGGCACCAGTGGCTCACGCCTGCAATCCTAGCTACTCAGAAGGCTGAGATCTCAGGATCTTGGTTCAAAGCCAGCCCAGGCAGGAAAGTCCATGAGACTCATCTCCAATAAACCACCAGAAAACTGGAAGTGGTACTGTGGCACAAGTGGTAGAGCGCTTGCTTGAGCTGAATTGCTGAGGGACAGCGCCCAGGCCTAGAGTTCAAGCCCCATGATGGACAAAAAAAAAGCCTTAATATAGCTTTTATTATTTACTCACACTGTCTCACTTTGTTTATTTTTAATTTTTTTTGTGCCAGTACTGGGGCTTGAACTCAGGGCCTGGGCATTGTCCCTGAACTTCTTTTGCCCAATGCTAGCACTCTACCACTTGAGCCACAGTGCCACTTCTGGCTTTTTCTGTGTATGTGGTACTGAGTAATTGAACCCAAGGCTTACTGCATGCTAGGCAAGCACTCTATCACTAAGCCACCTTCCCAGCCCCTTCATTTTTATTTTATGAACATCCTTTTTTGTTTTGCCCTTTTGTTTTACTTTACTGAGCCTCTTGAGCTAGGCATCAAGAAGCCTGGATTTTCCTGATAAGATTATTTCCCACTTTCCATGGTTCTGTGGTTTCTATCTATGTGGTGGTATTCCTGTGGTTGGAAGCACTCATTCTATTCCTGAGGCACTCTTCTGGAGGGGGAGCCATGGAAGGAGGCCCCAAGACAGAGGGGGCTTGCATTACATGAGGGAGCTTTGAGCTCTGCACTCTTTCTCTCCAACCTGACCCAAGCTTTTGCTCTAACCTAGGTGCCATCTGCCTTTCTGAGGAAATAACCTGCCTTAGCTGCCATTTGTTGCCCATTTCCCAGAACACTGAGCAGACCCAGGGGACTCCACACCTGGAGAAGCTAGAGAATTTGGGAGGAGACCTCAGTTCCATACAGAAGGAGACACTGCTGAAGGAAGAAACAGTTATCTAGCCCAAGATATCGCCTTCTACCATTCTTTCCAGCCAGGTGAGTACGCGTTCCTAGTGTATGTGACTCTGCTCTCCTGCTGCTCTCTGATACTGGGGCTTGAACTCAGGGCCTGTGCTCTGTCCCTCAGCTGTAACTATATTAATAATTTAAGCCACAGCTCTACTCTGGCTTTTTGTTGGTTAAAGCTAAGCGTCTCACAGGTGCCAATAGCTCACACCTTTAATCCTAGCTACTCAGGAGGCTGATATGTGAGGATAGCAGTTCAAAGCCAGCCTGGGCAGGAAAGTCCATGAAAGTCTTATCTCCAATAAACCACCAGAAAACCAGAAGTGGCGCTGTAGCTCAAGCGGTAGAGAGCTAGCCTTGAGCTGAAGAGCTGAGGGACAGCGCCCAGGCCCAGAGTTCAGGCCCCATGACTGGAAAAAAGAAAAAAAAAAAAGATAAGGGTCTCATGGACTGTCCTGCCTAGGCTGGCTTTGAACTACCATCCTCAGAGTTTATCCTCTTGGGTAACTAGGATAATAGATGTGAGTCACTAGCACCCAGCCTCTCTGCTGCTTTTGAGAAACTTTTTTTTTTTTTGTCAGTCCTGGGGCTTGAACTCTGGGCCTGAGTGCTGTCCCTCAGCTCTTCAGCTCAAGGCTAGCACTCTACCGCTTGAGCTACAGCGCCACTTCCGGTTTTCTGGTGGTTTATTGGAGATAAGACTTTCATGGACTTTCCTGCCCAGGCTGGCTTTGAACTGAGATCCTCAGATCTCAACCTCCTGAATAGCTAGGTTTACAGGCATGAGCCACCAGCGCCCAGCCCTTTGAGGAACTTCTGAGGGTCAAGTTAAACCTCCACTTCCCTCACGCTATAGTGACTGTCTTTCTCCTTCGTACAATTAGTAGTTCTTAGCTAGCACTCTACCACCAGAGCAACAGCACCACTTCCAGTTTTTGAGTGGTCAACTGGAGGTAAGTCCCATGGGAACTTTTCTGCCCAGGTTGACTTCGAACTGTGTTCCTCAGGTCTCAGCCTCCTGAGTAGCTAGGATTACAGGCATGAGCCACCAGTTCCTGGCTTGAATAACTTTCTTTTCTTTTTTCTTTATTTTTCAGGTGTTGATTCATACCTTAAAAACCAAGCCTGGAGGCAATGAGGAGATGAAAGAATATTTATTACATGATCAAAGGAAGTGAGATTTTTAAAGCAACATATAGAGTAGACCCACTCACAGGATTTGCATTGATATTAAAAAGTCATGTTCCTAGATAAATGCATGTCTTAGTACAGGAAATGTTCCCCAATATGTATTTGGAGGAGGGGAGATTTGGGGCTGAGAAAGGGGGCAAAAATTTGTCTCCTGGGACCAGAAGCTTGAACCTAATGAAGTCTGTGCATATAGGAGAAGTAAAGGCAAGTCATCTACCAACATAGCAGCTTTCCCTCCCTACATGTATGGTACCCTGACTAATGACCAAAAAGATGGCCAGAGGTTTCCTGCATGCTCAGACTATTTCTCTTTTATTGGAATTACGAGATCTGAGGACTAGGTTTAAAGCTAACCTTGGCAGGAAAGTCTGAGAGACTCCATCCCCAAATAATGAACAAAAAACTGGCCTGCAAGGCATGCACAAGTGGTAGAGTGCTAGCTAGCCCTGAGTGAAAAAAGCCCCAGTGAGTTCAAGCCTTAGTAATGGCAAAGGTAGTGGCATTATTGAGGTAGAACTGACAAGAACTGCACACCAAGTATGTAACTCCACAAAATTTGACAAATATTCCAGTAAAAACCGTCACCACAATCAAGATGATAGCCAGGTATCAAGAGGCTAAGTTCTGAGGATCATGGTTCAAAGCCAGCCTGGGCAGAAGAGTCCATGAAACTCTTATCTCTAATTACCTACCAAAATACTAGAAACGGAAATGTGGCCTAAATGGTAGCAGACCAGTCTTGAGCAAAAAGGCTCCAGGTTCAAGCCCCAGTACCAACACCAAAGCAAAACAAGACAAAAAGAGCACAGCACCTGTAGATCATGTAGAAGGCTGAGATCTGAGGATTGTAGTTCCAAGCCAGCCCATTCAGGAAAGTCCATAAGATTCACAAGTTCAATTAATCACTAATAAAAATGCCCGAAGTGGAGCTATGCCTCAAGTGGTAAGAGTGCTAGCCTTAAGCAAAAAAGCTCAGGGACAGCCTCGGGCTCAAGCCCCAAGACTGGAATACAAAAAGCTAATGTACAGATGCATTCCCTAGGAAATTTACTCAAGTAATGAAAACTCATTTTTTTGGTACTGAGATTTGAACTCAGGACCGTGTGCTCATTCAGCTTGCTGTAACACTTGACTCATCTTCCGGACCCTTTTTCCTGCTTATTTTGCGAATGGAGAATTGAGGAATTTTTGAACTTCAATCTTCTGGGTCTCAGCCTTCTAGGCAGCTAGGATTACAGGCAGGAGAGAGTGTGTGCTGTATGCTAGTGCAGCCATGCATTGTAGTGACTCTGCTGATGTGGAAATAACACCAATTCCTGGCACTTCTGGGTCCACACTTCAACTGTCTTGCTCCTCCAGGAAGCCTTCCCAGATTACAGCACACACTCCCCATAGGCTCCCGGCCGCTCCCTCCCTTCCACACACACCCTGTGCTCCAGGCGATATGTCCAGTGTTTCCTCTATCCCACCCTCCCTCCTTCTACGCTTCTTCTAAAGCACCGTAGCGCAAAACAGACCCGTGCAACACACTGAACCCCATCCACAGGAGGAAAGCAGGGGCCAAGGCACAGCAGAGACACTGCCGAGCCCGCGCGGGAAACCTGCGCGCCGCCGTCAGCCCGGAGGGCGGAGCCTATTGGCGGTGACGCAAGACCATCGAGACGCACCTCCGAGACCTCCCAGCGCCCTAGAGGGGAAACGGAAGTGGCCTATCTTGTCCTGCGCACCTGTCCGACAGCCTCCGCCACCTACTTCCGGTTCGCGGAGCGTTCAGGCGAGGCCCGCTCAGGTGTGGGTGCTCGTGGGAGAGAGCCGGGGTTCGGGGCCTCGGCGGCGGGCGGCGGAGGTGGCGGCGGACCGGCGGCAGGGCTGGCTGTGGGGTAGCTGCGACGCCGTGGCTCTGCGGAGCGGGGCTCGAACGTACCGCGTCGCGTCGCATCGCGATAGCTCAGGTAGGAGCGTGGCTGGTCCCACCAGGCCCTGTGTGGCCTAACGCGGGGTGGACTTGAACCCGGGGGGAATTTTTGAAAAGTGAAAGTACGGATTTAGAACAGGACCTAGGACGGGCTATTGAAAGAACAGCCACGCGAAGTCTCCTGTTTGTCTAGTACCATACCTGGAAGAAAGGTGGAAGGAGACCCTGGTACCTGTGTACGCACCAGTCTGTACCAGTGCTGTACGCACCGGTGGCGGGAACTAGTGCAATAGCTATACAACCAGACGGAGAAACCCCGACACAGCAGGGAAACTGCATATCGTAGACAGTAAGATGTAAATTGGGCTTGACGGTCGGACTTGGTAGTGAATACCTGTAATCCCAGCACGCTGGAAGCCCAACTTGGAATAGCAGGAGTTGGAGGACATTCTGAGCTACAAAGCTAGGATTCTGGGCCGGGAAGGTGGCTCAGTTGGTAGAGCGCTTGCCTTGCATGCCTGAGGCTCTGGGTTCGATTCCTCAGCACCACATAAGCAAAAAGAAAAAAGCCGGAAGTGGCTCTGTGGCTCAAGAGGTAGAGCACTAGCCTTGAGCTGACGGACAGCGCCCAGGCCCAGAGTTCAGGCCCCACGACCGGACCCCCCCTCCACCCCCCAAAAAAAGCACTAGGATTCTCCCAAAAAACCAACAGCTGTGCGCTGGTGACCCCTGACTATAATCCTGGTTAATCTGGAGGCTGAGATCTGCAAAGTCGTGGTTCACAGCCAGCCGGGCAGAAAAGTCCACCAGACTCCATTTCCAAAATAGCTAGCAAACTGCTTGACTCAGGTGGTAGAGTGCCAGCGGTGAACCCGAAGGTGAGAGTGAGGCCAAACTGAGTTCAAACTTCAGTACTGGCACCAAAACAAAACAAAAGCAACCAACCTAACCAAAAATTTTTTGAGGAGGATAAATATACAAATGCCGAATAGATTATTTGTCAGAAGCTTGGGCACACCTCCTGTTCTTTCTCTATTTAGTCACTTCTCTTCGGGGTTCAGGTCTGTTTCCTTCCTGAAGGGCAGCACAGAGGTTAGGACTCACCCTCCTGTCCACCAGGTGCTGACATTCATCCTTTGCTTGCTTGCTTATGTACTTATTTGTTTCTATACTAGGACTTGAACTCAGGGCCTGGACAGGCTTCCTTAGCTTTTTCGTTGAAAGCTGGCACTCTACCATTTGAGCCACAGCTCCACTCATGACTTTTTGGTGGTTAATTGGAGATGAAGAGTTTCACTCTTTCCTGTCTGGATTGGTTTCAAACCAGAACCTTTAGCTCTCAGCCTCCTGAGTAGATAGGATCACAGATAGACACCCACACCCAGCTTAATTTGTAATTTTTAGACAGGGTCTTGCTTTGTTGTCGAAGTTGCAGTTCTCCTGCCTCAGTCTCTGGGGATTCCTGTCTCAGTTAATTTCTCTCTCTCTCTACTATATATATTTAATTTTTTTTTTTTTTGGTCTGGTCATGGGGCGCTGTCCCTCAGCTCTTCAGCTCAAGGCTAGCGCTCTACCACTTGAGCCACAGCACCACTTCTGGCTTGTTTCTTTTTGCTTATGTGGTGCTGAGGATTCGAACCCAGGGCCTCATGCATGCAAGGAGAGCGCTCTACCACTGAGCCACCTTCCCAGCACTATATTTAAATTTTTAAATTTATTTTTTATTTTTACTTGTGGGTCAAGGGGCCTGAACTCTGAGCCTGGACGCTGTCCCTCAGCTCTTCAGCTCAAGGCTAGCGCTCTACCACTTGAGCCACAGAACCATTTCTAGCTTTTTCTGCCTATGTGGTGCTAAGGAATCAAACCCCAGGGCCTCATGCATGCAAGGCAAGCACTCTAACACTGAGCCACCTTCCCAGTCCTTTTTTTAAAATTTTTTTTCTGGTCCTGGGGCTTGAACTCAGGGCCTGGGTATTGTCCCTAAGCCTCTTTGTGCTCAAGCCCAGTGTTCTACCACGTGAGTCACAGCTCCAGTTCCAGCTTTTTTGAGTAGTTTATTGGAGATAGAAGTCTCATGGACACTTTTCTGCCCTGGCTTTCTTTTTTTTTTTTTTTTT